TTATATATATATATATATATATATATATATATATATAAACGACTGAAGGTGACAGTACTTGACAGTGCCATTTTATGGCACATTGTGCCATAAGCACACAAAGAAACACATAATATTGACCCTTCAGTTTTTCATCGGAAATAAGAGAAACCTTCTAGAGACGTTGGCATTTAATCTAAGGATGAACTTTAATTTATCTGTGACAATAAGACAGCCTGTAGCTTTTGAAGAAATTGGTAATTCTTCTAACACCAGTTATTTACGGTTAATGATTTTGTTTTTTAAGGATTTAACTTTGTTATTCTTGCTATTCTGTACCATTTTGTTTAGACTCCTCCTAGAAAGAAGCATTTTTCCCACTCAAGTTAAATAAACCCAAAGCAACTTCAAACACCGTCTCTTTAAGGGTATTTATCCTTCTCCCTCCAGAATCTTTTGGCCTCCTCCTGCCCAGCTGTGTACTGCAGAGATGGACTTTTGGTTTGCTGTTTGCTTCGATCCAAATCTCTACAGTCTGGATCATGTCCAAAGCACATCAGTTCCTTTCTTCATGGAGTCCTAATAAGTTCCTTCTCATCACCCAAGGAGATCTCAGAGTGAGCTGCTCATTGATTTCAAAGACCTTGTTTCTACAAACGTTTTCAATAATTAGACAATCATAGAATTTTTTGTTTATTTTGTTTACCAAAGTTTAGTAAACTTTGTACTCCAATAAGTGTTAAATCTGAAAAGAAAATCATGACACGTAAAGATAAAATCCTGGTCAGTAGTCACCAGCTGTGCTCTGTTTTATGATGTCAGATGCATTTCTCACTGTCATCTTTATCTGCCTTGCCTGTATACAGCCAACACAACTGAACACAATAATGGTTCACATTTATAGTATAATTCATTTACAAAAGTTTCCATCACAACTGGATTACTGCCAAAGAGAGTGGAGTTTGATGTTTGGCTTTATTCACTCCAAACTATTCAAAGACAGATTCAAACCACTCTGAACATCCTTTAGTTTTGGACTAAAGGAAATGTACACCATAGCAATCTATATCTGTAGAGACAGAGGAGATGAGGGAAATATCCGCTCAGCCGCCCACTAAGTTGACACCAACATTTTCCTAACTCTGCCAAAGAAGTCAGCCACTGTTAACCTAAGCAGAACTACACTGATCTCTGCTCAGATGCCAACCTAGACTTTACTAACCAGCTCCATGAGTACGTCGCTTTGGACTTTCAACATTGACTGAGACGCATGTTCCCATCTTCAGATCACAAGTACTTTTATGGAACATTGAGCAGACCCACAGAAGTGGAATATGAAGACTATTAAATAAAGAGAGCATCACATTTTCTGACAACAAATCATCAGAAAGCCATTGTTATTGCTGCTGCTACAGCAGCATTAATAATGTTATGCAGGAGACAATGTTCCGTTGAAAATGTTATGCCAAGCAATGTGTGCATAAACACCAACTACTAAACAAAATCCAGATCAAACTGTTGGCACCTAAAACCTTTTCTTGTATTCATTCACAAGATATTTCCTTGCCTTTCTGTCCTGGAATTAGTTTGTCAAGTAAAGACACACAAATACTTGAGTTTTTTAGCAGGGATCAGCTATATAAGGTGTATGTAATCCAAAAACTATCAGTTTGTTTAGGTAGTGTAAAACTGCTGTCATTTTGTCTTTAGATGTTGATGGAGAGCCTGGATAAGACAATTGGTCAGACGAAGTCCGTACTCCTGAGTTCAGACTGTGACCATCGTCCCACTCTGCAGAGCCACAGTCAGCATCTACAGAGGCACCAACTGGAAGCTCTTGATCGGGCTGCATGTGAGCTGCAGGTGAGTCTGTGTAGGACAGTTTGATTCATTGGTGATGCTTGGTCCAGTGTTATTGCTGTCTTTCCTTTGTTCATGTGTGAGGATCTATTGTTTTCTACAATGTTCCTTTCATAGCTCACTATTCAGACCATTTTCTTACCGTTTTGTGGCTGTGTCCAGTACATGCTGAGATTGATAGTTATCTGACATGCTTTATCTTTGAACTTATAAATAGCCTTAATTTTTTCATGTTGACACATCAGCATTTTATATAATTTTGACTCTCACTGAATGCATACTTGTTTCAAATGACGGTGGTCCCTAAAATGCTTTCAATTCAAGTTGAGCTGGACCTTGAATTGGTCCAGCTCAACTTGGACCGAGTTGGACCAAAACAAGTATTTTGACTTATTTAGTCAAAATACTAAACAACTATTAGCATTAGTAGGTTGCCTCAACCAAAAAAGAAAGAACTGGTCCCACCCAACAGAACATTGTAGTATTTCATTTGAAATGTCTAAGGCAGAGGTTCCCAAACTGTGGGGCGCGCCCCCTAGGGGGGGCGCCGTGTCATTGCAGGGGGGGCGCGGGAAGCCGTCTGGATGAAGAAAAAAAACAAAACATGAACACTGTATGCGCTGGATTTTTACCGTAGAATGGCCAACTCTCTGTTATTCCTATGTCAATTTGATACAGTAGAGGCTTCCACACTTCCCATATTTGTGTCCCCTGTCACTTTTATCAACAGTTAAAACTGTTTAATCCGTTGTTAACATGTTGTAACCTGTTTTTCCGAGCTGCCTTTAAACGCAACATGAGCGCTACGACGCTCGCGCTGGAGGAGACCTGCTGCTGGGCGGAGCTACGTAGGTTTGTGTTAGAATCACGGCAGCAAACCAGCAAAACACAAAGAACTTTTCACTTTTCACAGTTTTTCCCTCCAAACTAACCGACTGAGTTGAGTAAAGCTGTTGGATGCAGGTAATGTTAGCTAAAAGATGACTAGCTAATATCAATACAGAACCTTAAGCTTAACAAGGCTACCGATGTTGGTGTCTATTTTCAGCTACGTACATTCATTTTGCCCCCAAAAAAGTCGATGCCCCCCGTCACACGCGTCGTTTCAACCAGACAGCCATTTGTAATCCATATGGGGGGCGCAGAAAATGTTTGGAAACCACTGGGGGGGGGGGCGCGGAAGAAAAAGTTTGGGAACCACTGGTCTAAGGTATGTAAACAGACATAGACTGGGTTTTAACCAAACACAAACCTACCTCCCTATTAAGGTATTAACCCAAAAACTAGAAAACAATAGGAATAAGCTGGATAACAATATTTTGATGTTCTCAAAGAAGATATGGCAAGAGGTACACAAGAAATAGAATATCTTCCCATAAGTGCCAAAGATATAAGAATAATTGTTGATCTATATGAAGAGGACATATTTATATCATGCAATGTTTTCATTTTAAAGTTTGATCTAGAGGGAAGCAGTCATTTTTGGAGATATTTACAAATTAGAGATTGTATAAAAGTCAAAATGAAATTTCCTCAGGTGAAAAGCCTGATAGTGTTTTTGGGATTACCACCCTTACTTAGCAAGGCATGAAGATGGTTGTCTGCTTGTCCATGGCTTAAAAATTGTAGAGATCTTGATTGTACGTTTAACGAGGGAACCTGGGACTCAATTATTTCTGGCTATATGTCAGGGAGGCCAAAGATGAATTTATTCAATGTAAAATTCTCAGCAGATTCTGTCTCACTCCATCTAGACTTCACAAAATGGGTATAGATAAAGACGTTCTGTGTTGGAAATGTCAAGAAGCAAAAGGTGCTCTCTTGCATGATTTGTGGGAGTTTTCAAGTCTCTCCAATATGGAGCAGTGTGTTCTCATTTGTGGGGGGTTTAAATGACCTGAATCACCAAGACTGTTTTTATTGGGGACAGAAACAAGGTGCCACAGTTTTCAGAGTATAAAATACTGGACTTGTGACTTGTGTTCACCTTATTTTAATGCTATTGAAAGAACCTCAGACTCCAGCCCTCAAAATGTGGAGAGAAAAACTGACTGAAAATTCAGCATGTGAGATGATGCTTGGAATATTAAATGGCAGAAATGAGGTTGTGACAGAACAGTGAGACAGTCTTCATTCTTATGTCTACAATGTTGTAACTCAATTACTTCATGGACTGAAGCATCTTATGGTGCATTTATTACTTTATAAATGTGTTCTTGTCCCTTCACTGTCTTTTAATGTTTTAAAAATGTAATAAAAGCCTTACAAACTTTCTTTTCAAAAGTTAGACTGAGATTTTTAAAAATAGATAATCTAAGTTTTTCTAGTTTCCAATAGTCCAATAGCCTATAGGGAAAAAAAGACTTGCCTACTATTCAAGCAGGTTCAAGGGTAATACATTTTATTATTCTAGGTTTTAAAGTAAGATGGAACTGTTATAATAAATGTGTAGAAACCTTGCAAAATATTATGATCAGTGTAAAAGCCCATTAACATTTTTTCCAAAGATAAATGTGTTAAAACTGTTTTCTTTGCATGTTAGAAATGAGGTTATGCAAAGCAAATAGTTTTGATGGGTCTGATCTCGACATTCTACTCCACAAGGCGTTCTCTTCCATGGTGCTGAGCAACTTCTCTACTGACTGCAAACGGATGTCTGGGGAGATCTTTGAGCGCACCATGCCGTCTGCAGGATACTGGAGGCCGAGCCAGAGGACGGGTATGCATGCCAGAGTCGTACTGATGGGCTCAGCAGGCTGGATCAGTTCCACAGAGCAACTGGTTGCTATTTGTGTTTGGGCATCATTGAGTCATCACCATAGTAAACAGTTGCTACAGTGCTTGGTCTTCATTTCTTTAGTCGAGTGAGTGGAAGTCGCTGCTCTTCCAATCTTTGATTCCCTTTGAAACTGTTCTCCATTTAGTCTTTATGCTGATTGTTTTGCTCTGATCTTTTATTTAACTATATTTCATGCAATTCACCCCTTCTCCATCAATTGACTATTTTACAATAAATAAATTCATTGTAAAAAGCGATGAAGTTGGTGGAACCAACTGTGGACATCAGGTTGATTTAATGGCCTGATCTGTGATATTTCAGCAGTAGAATCATGAGACTCATGGAAAGCAGCCATCTGACAGAATCACTGCTGAAGGAGAAGAACTTCAGCAGTGATGTGTCAACCACTTTCATTCTTTCTGATCATCTCTGCCCCTATGCAATGCTGATGATAATATGCTTTGCTTCATCAGCATAAGATGGAGGAAAAGGAATTTCTTTCCTTCAATTAGTAAAAAATCTGGGGTCTATAGTTTCAAATACAAAATACAACAGTAGTCACTGTGCAAGGTAAAAGTAAATGTATCTTATGCATTGCAGGTTTTCCCAGCAGTCCCAGTGAATATGCATCTCTGGCAGCTCAGACTGTGATTGGCCAAGTTCTAGAGGCTGTTGCGCCATTGTCAGAAGATGCTCACGTCCAAGCACTAACTGTGGCGATGACGGCTTTCATGGAGGCATGGATGGAGCACATATTAAAGCAGAAGATCAAATTCAGGTTTGGCTTTAGCATTTTTCTCTGGAACAACATATCACCGTCAACTGACTTTGTGACATATAGAGGTTTTACTTCCTGTGTATTCTGTCGGAGGAACCAGAACTGTCTTGCTGGTTTTTGAATTTGCTGTGACTCTGTATTGTCTTTTGTCTTTTTGTTCCCTGTTGTTTTTTTTTTTTTTCATTCTGAATACCAGTGAACAAAACCAACAACCACATTATGTGTTGCCCACTGAAAGCCTTAAATTTTGTTTCTTCATGCTGATGTTTAGCTAAAGTCTGTTACTACCTGAACTTTAAGCTGTTTATGCTTAGTTCATAAATGCATCTTTGAATAAATCTAACCAGATATCCATGTTGATGGGTTGAAACAAATATGATGGAAACCACATTACACTTACATACTTATCAGCCCAGGTGAATATTACAAAAGGGAAGAGAGATGAGAGATTAAAAAAAAAAAAAAAAAGAATTTACCTTCCATAGAAGAAGAAATGAAGAGGAAGAACCTGAACTTAAAGTCACTTGTTCTGAATGGCCACTGGCTGTTTACAGTCTGATATGTGAACTATTTAGTTGACAGAAAACATTTTGTGTAATATAACAAAATATTATTATAACTTAGTAATATAACAAGACGATCTTAAAGATGTCTGAAAGCTGCTGTAAAACAGACATGCTGCCATGGCAACCTCCATGTTCTTTTGGGACGTCAGGCTCTGAAATGATCATTTGATTCAGGAAAACTTTTTTGTGTGCGAGTGCTGACACACATCCTGCAGTGGCCTCTCTGAACAGTGTGCTGGGATTGTTTGTCCTCAGTCTGCAGGGGGCGCTGCAGCTGAAGGAAGACTTTGATTCTGTCAGGGAGATGATCAAGTCTGACAAGTACGGCCTGTCAGCCGAACTTCACCAGAGACTCCTCAGCCTCAGGTAACACGACCACGGTTCACACTGATCTGACTTATTAGCTTATCTGCTGCATTTCCATATTGTTGACCTGCCAAGGTGAGCGACAATCTGAGCATGCTCTTGTGTTAAAGCAAGATGGAGCCCAAGCATCCAAATCCAAAATGCTGAAAGAAAGTGGTGACAGAATGAGAAATAAAATGAGAGCATATGAGACACGAAAACATAGTTGTTCTGATTTGGAGAGGTTAGGTTTGTTACCATGACAACATCAGACTTTTGAAATGGCCTTGGATTCCTGTCAGTTTCCTGACAGCTAATTTTTTAATTTGCTTCTTCCTTTGTCATGATTTATATCAGTTGGCAGTTTAGGTATTTGTTCTATAAAAACATTGTCTATCCCTTTTTGATCAGCTCATGAAGGACACTAATCAGATCAATAATAAACATGTGGCAACACTTGATATTGACTGGCCTGTTGCCTGGGTGTGAAGTGTTTTTCAGCAGGTAGACTCGGCGCTCCTTTGTTTGCTGCAGCAGCCACAGGCCAAGCCGTACCTGCAGCGCCCAGCCTGGGAGTCGTTCACATGCTGCTGTAAGTTCCCCACCTGTCAGTCAAACTATGAGTCCTGTAAACCTCTTTGCTTTGCAATTGTGTCTATGTCAAGTCTCCATGTGTGTTGCCCCCCACACACACACCCCAGGTCCAGTTAAAGGCAGCAGAGACAGCTTGGACACTGCTGCTGTGGGCAGTAACATAACCAACCTGGGCTGTGTGGAAGGTGAAGAGCTGACTCAGTCTGATCAGACTGTCCACTCTCCAGTGGACACGTCTCTCCCTGCAGAGCCTTACCTGGCTTTAAGGTTAGTTACTTGGAATGTAGAGGAAATGTTCTTTACATTTCCACATTCAAAACATACCCTGCCTAGAAAAAATATTCACATCTCTGGACGCTTTACCATTTTTATTGTTTTTACAAATCGACCACGAGCAAGCAAAAAACCCTTTAGTGTCAAAGTGAAAATTTATTTCTACAAAATAAAAATTGAATTCAGGTATTTATGATGAAATAAAT